TAACAGAAAGAGGCGTTAATTGCATTCAACACTGATTTTCTGGGAAGGGGTGGGGGGGGGGGGGGGTGAAAGAGCCCCTTGGTGGCTCCCTGAAATTAATTATAGTAATGACTGAGAATGAAAACATAAGACTTATACCAGGGACGAAGAGAGACGACAGGTACCAAGATGAACAACTGATGTTCGGCCGCAAAATCTGACCCAGAGCAATACAACACTGAATGGGACTAAGAACATTGATCAGATTCCAGGTTGCCAAGACCCTGTTAGACCTTCAAAACCCCCAAGGCCAAATACCAGCTTACAACATACTGGAAAAAACAGCAGCCAATACTGCAAAACTGTAAACTTAGAACATAGTGTGTCCAAGGTTATACCAATTTTACGACACTGAATAACCTGAGAAATATGAGCTCTGGAAAAGGGAACCAGGATCAACATCAAAGTGTCCACCAAGGTTGGACAGGTGGCATGCAGGCAACGGCAAAGCGCCACCACTGGATAAATGACATGCTCTGGTCAGATCAACTAAACATTAATCACCAAAGAACGCCTCTGGAAGTCCAATGACTCATTCTTCACCTGACAAGAAGGTTGCAATCAAAGAAACTGCCCACGTGGCCAAAATAAAAAATAAAAGACCTTCAGAGGTGTTTTATGGGTTGCAGGGTTGGGGAGCATGGAGCTCCCCAACCCTGCAGGCAAGAGCCAACAAAAATACTACCATAAGAAAAGCATCTCAGCCTGAAGGGACAACTCTGAACTGAGGGAAGAAAAGAAAAACAACACCTTGATGAGAGGTCAAGATGGATTAGGAGCACAAGCCGGCTGGAGGTGAAAGAACACCTGAGAAAACTTGCAAAATGGCGCCAAAGCTCTATCAATCGCAAATGCAAGCAACAGCAGCGGCAGCTGACAATGTCAGCTTGTGGTAAGATCAACGAGCACCCTTCAAATAGGCCTCTCAGGTGAACTCCCAAACACACCAGAGAAGTAACTGCCCCTACACTAACAAAGCTAAACAAGTGCCTAGGAAAAGGTCACACTAAGTACAAGCAGCTCAAAACAAATAATATGCCACATCCACATAAGAATGCCAGTAGTAAAACACACGCCTGTCAAGCAAATACTTAAAGTACAGAACAATAAAATTGCCCCCGCAGGACAAAATCCAGAGGATGGCTGACACTAGGTCGAGAAGTGGAACTCGCTACAAAGAAGTGACCCAGGAAGCACTTCTACACAGATCAACATCAGTGACAGGACTGCCTGGTAGGCGGCTGCTAGCCGAGACCATTGGGCTGCTTGGCAGTGTCCATTTGCAATAGGGGGAGTTTTGAGAGACCCAATTGTTCTGAATGAATTGTTTGTAGTTATTAGGCTGTTTTGATGCTTTCCTGATATAGCCAGACATAACAATCCCCAGCTCCTTGCACCTCTGTGAAGGAGACTGGTTCTAGCTCTGGTTCCTGGTAGGCAAAATGGTATTCTGATAACTGATGTGACCAGTAGTGGAAAGCCATCAAAGGGCTCCCCCCCCCAAAAAAAAAACAACGTTGAATGTAATGAAACGCCATTTTCTGGGCGAGACCCAGAGGCTCCTCGGAGCTATTCGGCTGACACGGATGTATTAGCTTTGGGGATCAATGTACATGGAGTTCTAGGCCTACCGGGGACCACGAGCTAGAACCTGGCCCCCTTAGAGAGGCGTGAGGAGCAATGACCTATAGATACACCTTATACAGTACTAGTATAATTGGTTTAGAAGTACTTTATGTCTGCCATCGACCGGGTTAGGCACCCAGAGATAGGTGCCCCAAAACATGCCCCCCCCCCCCATTCTGGTGAAGAAATGCTACAAAACTCCAAACGAATGGATAGAACTCGCCATGAAGAAAAGCTATCAAACGAACATGACATCTCATTACCAACGCGCCGCCGTCTGCACAACCCCCTCTCCCTCCCTGGGAGGGGAAAGAGGGAGCCCCAGACCCCCGCCGGCTACCCGAGCCTGTTAGTTCTTAGGCTGGATGCCAAAACACGCGAAAAGAAACCGCCGACTGGAGGGAGGGAGGAGGGATGCCAGGGAGCCTCCGGGTTTCATCCAGAAAATGGCGTTTCATTACATTTAATGTTGGTTTTCTGGGGAAAGCCCCTTCGGCTCCCCGGAGCTACTTACCCAAAGAGAAACAAAAACGGGACTTACTGTACCAGGGTGGCGGTCGTTCCTCACATCTCAACGCGAAGTCGAGACAACTGGCTGCAACCACCTACCCAATGCAACACAGGCTAGACCAGGCCCAGGGACATTAACCAGGTAGTGAGCAACCAGGACCCTGCTCAACCTCCAAAAGGTTGTGGTTGTCCCCGCGCCCGAATGTCAGCCCAAGACATGTTACCAAAACCAGCACCAAGCGCAGCAAACTTACAAACGTCGTCGGCGTGGGGATAAACCGCAGGCTGGCTGGACCGAATAATCCTGAGGACAACCTGGGAGACTCAAACCCTGGAAAAGGAAAGGAGGGAAACCTGGATAACCCAAAGCTCGTCCCAGGTCACCGAGGTTGTGGCATGCAAATAACAGCATAAAGCCGCAACCGAACATAACACGTGATGCACCCCTAGTCTCGCCAACTAAAAATCAACCACTCATGGGCCCCTCCGGAAAGCAGCAGTCTCATTCTTCGCCAGAAAAGGAGACAGCTGCAACCGAACAAAACGATCCCCTAACCCAAAAGAGCAGAAACCCCTGCACCAGAGAACATGAAGCTCCCCAATCTGACCCCCCAGAGGCCAATGGCAACAGAAAGAGAGCCTTAAGACAAACAATCCTGAACCGAAGGGGCCACCACAAACCGAGGGAGAGAGAGAAAGGAGAGCACCCATTCCAAAGACTAGGACGGCTCAAGCGGTGCAAGAGCTGGCCGGAGGCGAAACAACACCCGAGACAGCTTACGGAACAGCATCAAAGTAACATCCACACTAAAAACCAGCTGCAGCGGCTCCGCCAACGCCTCACGATACGAGGCGACAGTGTTCGGCATAAGATGACGGTCCTGAAACGACCACAAAAGAATGGATAACACAACCCTAACGGAAATCGAAGCAACACGACGAAGGGCCAGAAAGAACTGAAAGGACCGCCAAGAAATTTCATACTGTCGCCGAGACAAAGCCCATAGGTGGGGCATTATCAAAGAAGCCACCTGATCACCATACAAATGGTGATAGACTTGAGTCAGAAAGACCAGATGTGAAGACTTAAGGAAATAATCGAACCAGCCTCGTAATGGACAAGACCGATCTGCTGAAAGTGGCGGAGCCGCGAGAAACTCTCTGGGTTCGGACACTGGGCAAGCAGCGCCTGAAACCATGGCTGGGCCAGCCACCAAGGAGCCAGGAGGACTACTCTCCCCTGGTAAGTCTCCAAGCGAGCTAGGAACTGGAGCAACAGCGGAATCGGAGGAAAGAGGTACAGGTAATCCCCACCTCGACCAGTCCTGCCTGAAGTCATCGACCCTGAAGGCCTCCCGATCGGGGAAGGGCGCCACATACAATGGGAGATGCCTCGACCACATTGATGCAAAGAGTTCCACCTCCAGGAGCCTGAACGTCTGGCAGAGCCAACTGTACGAGTTTGCATTGACTGTCCATTCCGTGGACAGGGAAATGAACCGAGACAGGTCGTCCGCCAGGGAATAACACCCCCAAATATGAACAGCCAGGCGAGCCAAACCCCGAGAACTCAGCAGATGAACCACCCAAAGCGACAAGCCCCAAAGAGCCAAGGACCGCAAAGAACCCCCTCAGTTCAGACAATGAACCACCGGGAAGCAGTTCGAATGGAGCCGGATCATCGATCCGCGAGCGACCTGAACCCTAGAGAGCAACAACCACACTGTCGCGAACTCCCTCACTGTGCTGTGTGCCCGACGGAAGGTTAGACCCCACCGTACCTGGCCGGACTGGTGAGCACTGGTCACAAAACCCCAAGCCAAATGGAAGGTAACGAAAGTAGTACCCATGATGCCCCAAAACAAAACCGAGCCAGTCCCCAGTCCCTGGACTCTGCATGAATCGGGACGTGCAAATACGAGTCCCGAAGGTCCAGGGACACCATCCAAGCGTGGTTTCTGGCTCGAGGTCCCCAGTAGGCCTAAACCTCCATGTACATTGACTGATGCCCAAAGCTAATACGAGCTTAAACATCCATATCAGCCGAATAGCGCCTGGGAGCTGAAAGGGCTCCCCCCTAGAAAAGAAGTTTATAAATAAAAGCAGCAAATGTTTTACATAAAAAGATGCAGCCAATTTGACTGCATTTAAACAGTATCTTTAACAACACTTGACCTAAAAAGTATATTTATATAATGTACAGTATATAGTAATTATATTGCTTTTAATTTACAGTAATAACTGAAAACAAATTCTGTATAGGTATGTATTCATTCCCAGACACCCCACATTGGCCCATACATGTTTAGTTTTGTTAAGTACTTATGACAAATTTAACTCATGCAAGGACCAATCATTTTCTACATAAAAAATAAGTACTGTACTGTACTTATATATTATAAGATTTATTAACATATTGCTGTACAAGTCAATTAAATGAATGTTATGTATAATGTGGCATGCATGCCCTTAAGGTTGTGATACAGTGCTTGTCTGAGTGTGTTAACCAGTAGTAAAAGTTTGTCATAAAGCTAAGCTTAGAAAAATAATGATTTGGAGGGGGGTTATAAATACGAACAAGCAAGCATGTGCGATCGCTCTCGTGCGTGTATATGTGTGTGTGTGTCTAATTACCTAAGTGTAGTTGCAGGATGAGAGCTACGCTCTCGTGGTGTCCTGTCTTCCCAGCACACTGTCATATAAAGCTTTGAAACTACTGACGGTTTTGGCCTCCACCACCGTCAGTAGTTTCAAAGCGTTATATGACAAAGAGTGCTGAGAAGACGAGACACCACGAGCGTAGCTCTCATCCTGTAACTACGCTTAGGTAATTACACACACACACACAGCCTGGAAGCAGCCTGTAACAGTTATCTAACTCCCAGGTACCTATTTACTGCTAGGTAACGGGGGCATTAGTGTGAAAGAAACTCTGCCCATTTGTTTTCTGCCATCGCAAGGGTTTGAACCCGGAGCCTAGGATTACGAGTCCCAAGAGCTGTCCACTCAGCCACAAGCTCCCCCCCTGTATGTGTGTGTCAGTCAGTTGAAGTTCAACATTGTAATTCTTAACTATTTACAGTGTCAGCCTCAACTGTCAATTATAGTAAATATAGTACATCCTTATACAAAGTCCAAGTACAGGTAACAAAATATTTTAACACACATCAGTATACAGTACTGTATATTTGAAACACATTATCGCCGAGCTTCTGTACCCAAACTTTATAAACATTAATAATCAAATTAAATACAAATGAACTATTAGTTCACTTTTTCAAAAGCATATTTCGGAAGTCTTCATTACTCATTTTCTTTGTTGGAGTTTCTGTAGTGGAGGTTTCTGGAGAATCTGCGGAAGTCACAGGGGCCCGTAACAGAGCTCTCGGCATCAAGCTGAACATGCTTCGACCCCGAGTGCCAGCTGCTTTTTTACCTTTGTTGCCACCTCCTAAAAGTCCTCCTTCTGGAACTGACATTTCTTGGTTATTTGAATTCTTTTTGGCTGATGGATCACTGATGACCACAGAAATAGTCTTTCCTTCCAGCTCTATGCCATCCATAGCTTTTTGAACTTTTTCTGCTGTAGCAACATCATTGTAGTCTATGTAACAAGTGCCCTTTGAGTGACCATTTCTGTATGTGACCAGCCGCAGAGCCTTAATCTCACCATGGGGTTCAAAGGCCTCTCTTATTTCCTTTTCCGTCATTGAAAATGGCAATCCTTTTACAAATAATTTGTCTCTTTCCTGACTTGATGAATACTTGAATTTTTGAGTCTGATTATCAGGGTCATAAGGTGAAACAAAAACAGGTCGTTCATTAATGAGAGTTCGATCCAGCTCTAAGCTTTTCACAGCAGCTTCACGAGTTTCAAAAACAAGGTATCCAAAGCCTTTGCTTCGGCATTTGAAGTCTTTAACCAGCCTAAAATCTGCTATCTCACCACATTTACTAAACACAGGAATTACATCCTCCTTCCCAGTAGTGAAACCCAAATTGCTAAGGAAGACTGTACACAATTCATCTTTTGGATCTAGCTCTGTGAGAACCCCATACTGTTGCTCAACTGAAATAAAAAGGCAGAAAAGTTAAACTATATAAATTGTATAATATTTTATATTACATATATGCATATATACACACACATACAAGAGACGGGAAAGAGGATTGTGATCGTGATAATTTACAATCCCCCACTAAACAGAAGAAGTCTGTTACGACCCTGGGCCGAGTATAGCACTCTGGTAAATGGATTCAGGATCGTATTGCATTTGTTTACATATGACATAGGAATCTTTCACTCATGCAGGTATTTTAGTGATAGGCCTGAATGTGTTGGATTATATATATGGGATTAGTGTTATTTAAATTATAGAGTTTTTAGATAAGTTTGGGTTAAAGAAGGAGTGTTCTGGTCTGGCAAATTTATACAGAGGACTGGATCCTCAATTTGCAAATGGCGGGCAATCACTTCCTTGCCAGACTCAAAAGCATTTTGATGCTCCTAGTTTTGGTAGTTGCTCTGTGATACTAATTTGTTAGTGTATTGTAAAACTAGGATGTTATATTTATACTTAAAACTGCATGGTGGCAATTTAACATTGTATTAGAGGATAAGTAAATGTTACTGTATGATCAGCTGATCAAGCCGGCAACAAGCCGCATGCAGAGTAGAGCTCCGTGTGCAGCAACCTTGAGCTGGGTTGGACATTGGCTGGGCATCCCTTCATCCTTCCTCCTCTCCCCTCCTACCCTATTACTTAAGTGTAAAGTTAATTTACAGTGAACCCCGCACCACTATAAGGTTCTAAGTGTAATTTTGTCTGTGTTCCCTGGTCAAATCCCTTGAGTTCCCAGCAATTAGTTCAAGTTACCGACTAGTGAACACGTGTCTGCTATTGTATGTTCATTTTAGTTAAGTGTGTTGTCCTTTAAGGAAAAGTAGACTTTACCGTTAGTGTGCTGTAAGTAAATCTCGTCTCCTGCCTGTGTGGCGTCAGAGAGGTGATGTAAGATCGAGGTGGTAAAGTATTTGTTGTAATTGGCTGGTGAGGGGGGGGGGGTTAGGGTTAATAAATCAAGGTAAAATTTCAGCTGGAGTTTTCATCACCCCTCTTACATTGAGTTAGGTGATCTGCAGTAGACGACAGACCATTATTGTTCGTTTATTTGCTGGGAATTGTTTCCCTGGAGGCTAGGCCTCTCCTAACCCCATTAGGTGGAACTTCCTTGGCTCGATTCTTACCCAGACCCCCTTCCCCACCACCACCACATATAACAAGTGTGTAACAAAGGTAAAGACAGGAATATGATGACAAAAACAAGGCATGTATAGATTAACTTCAGAAGGCAGCAACAACAGCTCACAGAAAGAGTGAAACTGCTGGTCACGGGGTACATAAATCACGGCTAGATCGATTGGGAATCGAGGAATCCCCATGATGGGGGAAGAAATTTGGGTAGCAAAATTAGTGAAAGTTATAGACAGGAATTTCCTAACAACATGTGAAGGAATACACGAGGGGAAAGGAGGCGATACATCGAGCCTATTAGACCTTATTTTCACCCAGAATGCAGAAGACATCAAGAATTTGGAACATGAAATATCACTAGGAGCCAGTGACCATTGTGTCCTAGTCTTTGACTACGACAAGGACTACATGATCAAACTTAAAATTGTGACCATGGGACTAGAGGTCTGGGAAAGGAGATTTGACTGCAGGAAAGAAGATTACAGAATGATATGGGAATATCTGAGAGAAGTGTAATGGGAGGAAGATCTTAAGGGGAAAAGCAGTACAAGATATGATAGACTTTGTCAAATGGAAATGCAAGGAAGCCGAAGAGTGTTTCATGCCAACAGTAAGGAAAAAAAACCCAGGAGGGAATATAATAACCCATGATTTAATAGACAATGTCAGGAAGCAAAAATAAGAAGCGGGAGGGAGTGGAGAAAATACAGAAGACAAAGGACAGAGGACAACAGGACTAGATGCAACAGAGCTGGAAACAAATATACAGTATTAATTCAAGGAGAGTATTGGAAAGAAATTATGAGAATGATATTGTGATCAAAGCAAAAGAGCAACCTAAATTACTATATAGCCATATAAGAAAGAAAATGTTGGTGAACAACCAAGTGACAAGACTAAGGAAAACGGGAGGGGCATATACAGAGAGCGTCAAGGGAAATCTGCAAGGTACTGAACGCCCATTTCCACGGAGTGTTAACAACCAAGCCTGAGCAGCAGCTATTGTTAGAAGAGAAGATGACACTAGATGAGAGACTATCAGATATAGAGGTGACAGCAGAGGGGGTAATGAAACAGCTGACAACACTGGATGAAATTAAAGCAGTTGGACCAAACAACGTATCACCGAGGATATTAAGAGAGGCAGCGCAGAACCTCAGCATGCCCCTAGCAATGATCTTTAACGAGTCATTTACAACAAGAGAGTTGCCCAGTTGCTGGAAGAATGCAAATGTGAACCAATTTTCAAGAAAGAAGATAGAGAAGAGGCACTTAACTACAGACCCTTATCACTGACAAGCATCCCCTGCAAAGTACTTAAAAGAATAATCAGGTTAAGACTGGTTACACACTTAAAGAGAGAATTAAATACTTAAACACCAACATGGTTCAAGGAAGGGAAATCGTGCCAAACAAACCTTCTGGAATTCTATGATAAAGTAACAAGAATAAGGCAGGACAGAGAAGGATGGGCAGACTGCATATTTCTGGACTGCCATAAAGCCTTTGATACAGTACAACACAGGAGACTGCTATTCAAACTTGAGAGGCAGGTGGAAGCAAGCGAAAAAGCCCTAGCACAGGTAAGGAATTACCTAACAGGAAGGAGCCAGAGAGTAGCGGTAAGGGGTGAGAAGTTGGACTGGCGAACAGTAACAAGTAGAGTACCTCAAGGATCAGTGCCTGGACCAGTTATATTTCTAATATACGTAAACAACATGTCTACAGGAGTCGAGTCCTATTATGTTGATGTTTGCGGATGACGTGAAATTAATGAAACGAGTTGTGACAAATGAAGATTGTAGGATCCTCCAAGAGGACTTGAACATGTTGCAGAGATGATCAGAGAAGTGGCTATTGGAGTTCAACAGGAGCAAGTGTAAAGTTATGGAAATGGGTGTAGGCAGTAGGAGACCAAAGGGACAGTACACAATGAGAGGAAACTACTTACCTGTGATGATTCGAGAAAGAGACCTGGAGTGGACGTAACACCATATCTAACTCCTGAAGCACATATAAATAGGATAACGGCAACAGTGTACTTAACACCAGCAAAATTTTGACCATCATTCCGAAACCTAGGTAAGGAAGCATTTAGAGCACTTTACACTGCCTACACAAGACAAGTCAGAGTATGCCACCTCATCATGGAGGGGCCACTTGAAGAAATACATAAGGAGACTGGAAAAGGTTTAGAAGTTTGTGACGAGGCTTGTTCCAGACTGTGAGGGATGGGGCATGAAGAGCAACTGAAGGAACTGAACCTGATGATGTAATAAAAATGGAGGGAGCGGGGAGATATAATAGGAGACATAAAATACTTAGGAGAATTGACAAAGAGGAAATAGGCAAAATGTTCAGTGAATACCATCTGAACAAGGGAACATGGGTGGAAGGTGGAAACTCGGATGAGTCGGATGTTAGAAAGTTTTCATTTGGCATAAGAGCAGTCGGAAAATTTATATAAAAATCTAGCACTAAATGTAATGAAATGCCATTTTCTGGTAGTTCCCTTCAGTTGGTTCCCATGCTACCCACCTGGTGAAATACCCTACCCAGAAAAATGCTCTTTCTGAACTTTTAAATTGACTCAAATACTGTATGCTCAAGTTAAATTTATCTAGTGGATCTGCTGGATCCAAATAATTGTTTCAAAAGTCAGAGGACCTAGGCAAATATTACATTGAAGTCACTCTTGGCATACTAAGTCTCATTTCCTTAGGGCATCCAGTCACCTTTTCCACCAAATCGGTTAAGAAGATATAGTTTACTGATAAAGAAAAAATATCTTACTTTTTATTTTCTTTGTGTGTGACTCATCATCTGATTTCTCTGCTTCTCTCTTGGACCCTTTAGATAGAGCAGATACTTGAGACTTAAAGCCTGGCGGTGGCGCAACATCACCCTTGAAGCCTGGAGGTGGTGCAACATCACCCTTGAAGCCTGGAGGTGGTGCAATATTACCCTTGAAGCCTGGCGGTGGTGCAACATCATCTTTGAAGCCTGGAGGTGGTGCAATATTACCCTCGAAGCCTGGAGGTGGTGCAACATCACCCTTGAAGCCTGGTGGTGGTGCAACGTCACCCTTGAAGCCTGGAGGTGGTGCAACATCACCCTTGAAGCCTGACGGTGGTGCAACAAAACTCTTTGAATCTGGAGTACTGGTGAATGCTGAGCTTGCATTTGTTAAATCTTGTTTGAAGGCTAAAATAGAAATAAAATTATGAAATAAATGGTACATGAAATTATCATCTCTAATACTAACCAATTTTTGTATAATTTATGTACTGTACAACAAAATAACCGTTTTCATCTGGTTGCAAACTTAAATGATCCATCTACTATATTTTGTTTTTGCCAATACAACGGCACCTCGATTAACGAGCAGCTCTATTTACGAGCATTTCGAGTAATGAGCGAGCCACTCGCAGCAAATTTGTCTATTGACGAGCTTCACCTCTATTAACGAGCAAAACCACATGGTGCTGCCTAGCGTCTCGTGGGTTCTCGCAAATTCTAGGACGCCTCCGATGCCAGTGTTGTTGTTGTTGTATCGTGCACGACAAGCATCCCTCTGCATTTATTTGTGCTTTTCTTTGTTTTTTGTGACTACAATTTGTAACGCACGATGTCGCCAAAGAAGCTGCTTGCTAAAGATAGTGTTGTCAAGATGAAGACACAATTACTGTGGATTTGAAGAAGAAATTATAGCAAAGCATGAGTGTGGTGTCTGTGTGACTGATCTCACAAGGGAGTATGGCAGGGCCTCATCAACAATTTGCACCATTAGTAAGGGGATGAAAAGGTAAGGGAGGATGCTGCCTCTTCCAGTGAGATCAGGAAAATGTTGGGAATGTTTGAAAAGGTGACCGCATTCTTGGAAAAGCTGCCCTGATAAAGCAGTAACAACCCGGTGTGTGAACATGTTTAATGACAATTTGCTGTCTCATTTTAGGAACATCCTAAAACAATGACAAAAGCAATTGTCAATATATACGTTCTTTGCAAAAGTAGAGAAAAGAAGAGCCAGTGATAGTGAACCACAACCCGGTCCCAGTGGGGTGAAATTCCCAAGAAGAGAGAGCCTGCCTGACTCAGAGGTGGATTCTCCTTCCACACCGTAACCCCTCTCCTCCTTCCCACCTCCCCATCGTCTCCCTCAAGCCAGCAACGACTCTTCATAAGGTAAAGTAAACATGAAAACAGTACAACAAAACATTTATAATTACATGTGCAGTATTATATTTACATTATAAAATATCATACAAGTATGGATTTTTTGGGAGTGGAACGGATTAAATTTATTTCCTTTATTTTAAATGGGGAAATTTGTTTCTCAAGACGAGTTTTCCACATAACGAGCTCGGTGCCAGAACGAATTAAACTCGTTAATCGAGATGCCACTTTATTTTGATGTTTTCAATCATTTTCTTGAATTTTGTTTAACTTTCATTTTACTCAACGCTCTATCTCCAATACACACAGCAACCACAATAGAATGATTTATCAAATGAACAAATCCACAAGGGCTGTGTTGAGGATTCGAACCTATGCATGGGATGTTCCCAGCTGCGCCTTAGTCAACCGTGCCACAACATGGTAAAAGAAATGCAACCAGGAGTGCTACTGCCCTCACTAGGATCCCGAAGCTTCTCCGAAGCCAGATGAAGCCCCTGGCTTAGGAGAAGCTTCGGGATCCTAGTGAGGACAGTAGCACTCTAGGTTGCAATTCTTTTACCATGTCGTGGCACGGTTTAACGTGCAAACGGGAACATCCCATGCGCAGGTTCTAACCCTCATCACAGCCCTTGTGGATTTTTTCTCTATCTCCAAGCAAGGCCCCTTTAGTAGCTGACCTGTCGTCTCACCGCAGTACCAAAAGAGAAACTTTTCTCTACGTTACTTGATAAACGATAAAGAGAAAGTGAACTTATAATGTTTTGTGACGCCTTTGACCGAGTTCTAAATCGTTATAGGTTGATCACCGATTCCCATGAGCTTCCCTAATGTCTTTAGGGGGTTCTAGATTCTGATCTTGACTCCTAGCAGGATGACAAAGTCTCGAGTTTGACATCTGAGCACATTCTTTTAGTGTTAGTGATCTAGAGCCCACCACAGAAATGGTAAGAAATTAATTATTTTGCCCTGCTATTTAACCCTATTGGAACTCAGAAAATTTCCAGTCAAATCACTGTATTAAGAGCCACTGGGACTAATGATGACATATATATATAGTAAGAATACATATACTGTATAATATATCTTACTATTGTGACAATAATCTCCTTCAAGAGAGATTGAGCCTGCTCTTCCCTCCTAAGTTCGTCGCTATACATCCCTATACAACTAATATGGAAGAAATATCCAACAAATACAACACCAAAGTTTGCCAGAGAGCAAACGTATTCAGCACCAGGAACACCTGCTCCTCCTCCACCACTCAAACCAGCGAACTACCTGTCAGTCGCCTGCTCATCGCTGATTGGCCAGTGCCCAGTCGCACCTGCTCGCTCCACCCGCCACACTACCTGATGTCTGGGGCCACCACGACCTGCAGACCTCAGAATATCCAGTGCTTTCAACAAGTTAACACGTCTCGTTGGTAGACTAAGCTCTGGCTTACGTGTACTAAGAGAGGTGGCAGCTTAAAGCCAATATTCCTGCACCCATATTTTGCACTGTATATTGTTCACTTGTTATTACTCACTTGTCTTAACGTAACTTTTCATTTTGTCATTTGATTATTCTTATTATTTTGATTGATTGATTTTATGATACAAATTTTATGTCCATTTTATTCATGTTTTGCTTTTCTAACGTAATTAAAATTTCATTGTTAAATTTACTTGTGTTTTGTGTGTCTTCCCATTACCTTACCACAGACGAAGTTCCAGATTTTCTCTTTTTTGTTTCTGTATGTGACAAGGCCATACCCCTAGCTTTTGAAACAGCCGAACACCAACGCGTTACCGTCACACTATATACTGTATATAGCAAGTTATATATGTATTCAATCATACAAGCTTCAGGTTATATACATTCACTATAACAAAACTATATATAAACCAGTTGGAAATCAAAATTTAATACAAGGAAAAATAAAAAAAATAAAAATTCATTACAGTATTTCAATTTTGTTAAACTAGTTGATATAATACATTTGCAGTATTACCTTTGGATCCCTTTATGACTGGATGAGGAACTTTAAACACAGCACTTTCCTGTAATAGAATAATTACAATTTAAGCAAGTAACTTTATTAGGAGTATTCATCTAATGCAAATGCAATTTATTAGCTGCATCAACATGATGTAAGAACATGCACAATATACAGTAAATGCCACATGTGGTCACCATATATATATATATATACAGTATATAAAAATAATAACCACTCATTTTGAAAACACGAAAAAGCAGACTGTTTATTTCGATGCCAAGCCCGGGATCCTCTCCAGCAGTGGAAGATCCCAGTTTGAGATCCAAATATGCAGTCTATGTTACCTCGTGTTTTATTATTTTCAGTGATTAGTGCTCTACATAAAGGCTTTGTCGCTGCCAGGTTGTAGCACTGGGGAGCTACCAAGGGCCCTGCCCAGAAAAGCATAAAATAAAATACAGTACATGATGGCAGTGAAGAATCTGACAGAGAACAAAACTGACAGACGCTCATCACATAAGCAGTGTTGGACTACCATTGTATGTACAGTGTCAGGTCCCAAGGTGTTAATAGTTCACCTCTTCAGCAACTAACACGGATATTCTAAACTTACAGGTTTGGTACTTAACAGTTGCATTTGGTATTCGTGGGTCCTCAGGTTAGGTTCGGGCAATTTAGCGCATCATTTTTGTGGTGTGACAAGTTGATAGGCAGGCGATGAGTCACAATAACGTAGTTAAAGTAAGTTGACCAGACCACACACTAGAAGGTGAAGGGACGACGACGTTTCAGTCCGTCCTGGACCATTCTCAAGTAAATCGACTTGAGAATGGTCCAGGAATGGTATGTGGTGTGGTGTGACAATCAAATGTACCCATAGTAGGAAAACAGCATGTAAAGGATTTGTGAATAATAATGTCTGATGACTTAACGTTTAAGGAGCATAACCAAGCAAATATTGCGACAGCCAGAAAAATGATAGGATGGATTACGAGAACTTTCAAATCCAGGGATCCCATCACAATGGTTGTACTCTTCAAGTCACTTGTGTTGTCCCGTCTTGAGTACTGCTCAGTACTCACTTCCCCCTTCAGAGCAGGAGAGATTGCTGAAATAGAGGGAATACAGAGAACATATACGGCACGCATAGACGCAATAAAGCACCTAAATTATTGGTATCGTCTCAAAGCCCTCCAAATGTACTCACTAGAAAGAAGACGAGAGATTTCAAATAATACACACCTGGAGATACTGGAGGGCCAAGTACCAAATCTACACAGTAAAATAACAACGTACTGGAGTGAACGATATGGATGAAAATGCAGAATAGAACCAGTGAAGAGCAGAGGTGCCATAGGCACAATCAGAGAACACTGTATAAGCATCAGAGGTCCGCGGTCGTTCAACACCCTCCCAGCAAGCATAAGAAATATTGCCGGAACAACCGTGGACATCTTCAAGAGGAAACTAGATTTATTCCTCCAAGGAGTGCCGGACCAACCGGGCTGTGGTGGGTATGTGGGCCTGCGGGCCGCTCCAAGCAACAGCCTAGTGGACCAAACTCTCACAAGTCAAGCCTGACCTCGGGCCGGGCTTGGGGAGTAGAAGAACTCCCAGAACCCCATCAACCAGGTATCAACTAGGTATCAACCAGACAACTTGATAGGACAAGCTGGCTTACATACTCCTTATTGATAGTACTGCATTAAACACCAGTGATGTCTTACCTGTGACTGGTGACTCATTCCTCTTGATTGGTTTGGTTTATTCTTCTCCCTTCTATTTGTTTTCTCTTTTTGTTTCTTTCCATAGCTTTTATCACCGCCAGCTTGGTTCTCCATCTCTAACTTTGCAGCGTCTTCTGCCCTCTTTTGAATTACAATAGCCATCCTAAAATATGAAACAAAAATAATTATTAATATGCTGGTACACAAGTTGTGTTAAGAATTCCTTGCCTTCTCTGGAATTAGCAACAACAACATTGACACAAATATCTGAAGCCAACTTATCAGATTTGCATTATACTAAAATTTATAGAATGGAGACAAGAAACAACATCACTGTCATGTAAATTTATTTATGCCAATTTCATGAATGGACAAAAGACTCATACTCTAATGATATTTAATTTTGGAAAATAAAAGGCACAGAGTTGTATGAAAGCTCTTTTCCAAGAGGTTATCAATATTATTTGAGCCAGGGTGTACCGTGTACACTCAACACACACATATAAGGTCCTTGTCAAGCCTGGCCTTGGGCCGGGCTTGGGAAATAGAAGAACTCACAGAACCCCATCAACCAGGTTGTCAACATTCTGCCCCAATGTGACAAGGAACTTGCAAAATGGTCTTGCCATGTAGTTGGGGAAGAGAAACAGTGAAGAGTATCCCAATTCATCATTTAAGTGATCAGCAAATTACAATAATATGACAAATAAGCCACACAATACCTTCCACAAGCAATCACTGGGATCACAAGGCCAGCCAATTATCACTTTGCTAACTATTCATTAATAAGCAAGACAACACTAAATGCCACCAGGTGGTATTGCTGCCACAACAGGGTTACATTAGCCGACATCCCCCACTTAAAGCCATGGCTACCAAAGCACGCTTGGGGAATTAGAACCTAAATAGCAGGAACTGGTGCAACAAAGGGACCACTCACAAGAGTGTTTCATTCCACTCAGTCCTATTTCTGAGGATCAAAGATAAACCCCAGAGAAATTTGCAGAACTGATGAAACAATGTAAACAATCATTATCCAGGCAAAATGAACACCTAGATACACTCACCTCCTCCCACCACTCACCATATAGCAATCAAGTCCCAATAACCAACCAGCCCATACATGAGCCTCGTGTGTAACTAGGGACACACTGCTTTAAGGAGGGGGTAACCTGTCGTCTTTTCAACTTTAAGGCAAGTGGTGTTGACCATATCTGGAACAAAGTTCTGTGCAGGACCAGTACTTGTTTTTTTTTTCAATATTTAACTTCATACGTGTATTCTGTCCCACTCATAATAAGTGTGCCGAGGTGACAGTTTACTCCAGCTGTTGTAGCCAAGCTAGTAGCTCACTTGCATTTGCCCTGCCCCACCAGCATTATCTTCCCTGCAAGATTTGGGTCATCTCCTCTATGAGTTGCCTTCTCTCGAGGCATCTTGCTTTCAGGTAGTGCATGGGATGCACTTTCAGGTAGTGTACTTCTGTGATGCCAGTTGAAGTGGAGTGCTAGCTTCTAGCAGTTTGCTAGTGTGCTACAGTATCTTACTTGTTCTTGGAGCTATCTTTTTCATACCTATGTGGAAGTGAGTTTAGGTAATGTGAGTGACTGCAAGTCCAGTTTAACTTATAACTCCCTTTACCGAGTGGAGATAAGGTAATAAGTTGGCATCTGAATCGCCGAGCCACATACCATGTTCGGCCGACCCTGCTGATCTGCGGGCAATTAAGATACTGTACTAATTCACTTCTCTGATCCAGTTCTTGGTAAGATGAAGAGACAAGCAGGGATAACAGGAATGATCAATGGTAAGGGAGTACTTGACAGACAAGAAACAAAGAGTCATAGTAAGAGGAAATACTGTATATTAGGCTGGAAAGAAGTGGAAAAATGGTGTACCATAGGACTCTGTCGTAGGACCATTACTTTTTTTAAATTTATGTAAATGACCTTGCAGAGGAGGATGTCATACATGTTAATGTTTGAAGACGATTGAGAATTAATGAGGAGAATAAGAACTGAAAAACTGACAGTTGGGTACCCCAAGAAGACCTTGACAAACTTCAGGAGTGGGCAGACAAATGATCACTGGAATTCAATCCAAGTAAGTGTAAAGTAATGAAAATGCATAAAGGAGTTAGGAGACCTGTATTTAACTTGTGACGATAATCTCTTTCAAGAGAGATTGAGCCTGCTCTTCCCTACAAAGTACGTCAAAATACAAGATAATATAGAAGATACGTTCCCCAAGTATCGCCAAACGTTTTGCCCAGAGAGCAAATCGTACCCAGTACACAGTGACACCTGCTATCTACCACCGCCGTAACCAGCAAACTGCTCATCCTTTGCCTGCCTGTCGCTGATTGGCTGGTGTCCCGTCGCACCTACCCTCCGCCTCCACCACAAGTTGACATCTGGGCTGCAGTGTGCTAATATCGTCAGAATATCTCAGTGCTCCAAGCAGTTGACATCTCTCGCTGGTAGACTAAGCCTTGGCTTTCGTGTACTAAGGGAGGTGGCAGCTCGAAGCCGGTATTCCAGCACCACTAATACTTTATTTTGCTATCACTGTAACTCACTTGTCTTAACGTAACTTTTCATTTGCCAGTGATTATTCATATTATTTTGTTTGTTGACTTGTCTTTCATATTTTATGTGATTAACTTTATTCATGTCTTGTTTTTCTAGAGTAATTAAAATTTCATTGTTAAATTTACTTGTGTTTTGTGTGTCTTCCCATTACCTTACCACAGACGAAAGCTCCAGCTTTTCTTTTTTTTTCTATTATGTGACGAGGCCCTGCCCCTAGCTTTTGAAACAGCCGAACACCCACGCCTTACCGTCACAAACTATACCATAAAGGGAAGGCAATTATAAGAAACAATAGGGACAAAAGACCTGGGAGTAGACATAATACCAACACTAACACCAGAAGCTCCTGGGAACCAGATAACATCAGCAGCATATGGCAAGTTAGAAAACATAATAATGTTAAGAATCTTAATAAGGAGGCTTTTAAAGTCCATACACACTGCCTATATGAGACCATTACTTGAGTATGCAGCTCCAGCATGGAACCCACACCTTGTGAAGCATAAGCAGAAACTTCAGAAAGTTTAGAGGATTTCAACTAGATTAGTACCAGAATTGAGAGGCTTCAGCTATGAGGACAGGCTGAAAGAACTCTGCTTCATACTCTTAGGAGAGAAGAAACAGAGGGGACTGTGATATGATAACTACATACAAGATTTTAAGGGGAAAATGATAAAGCAGACAAAGGAACCCTAGTTAAATTAAAGAGGTAGAACAAGGGGTTAAAGGCCCTGAAAGAGACAAATGTAATTGTTTCCTGCAGCACTGAGGGTAGTATACTGACCTGCATTACTGCCCGTGTTCCAGACCAAGAACAGTGAAATATACCTCAGAGAACACCCCAATAAGACAGTTCAAGAGAAAGCTTACCACATTATGTTTTGGTTTAAGCACACTGTACTTGGTAAACTTTCCCACACTACTTGCTAAAATTTGACAAAAAACCAAGGCTTGAAATTTACCTATCTTTATATCTTTTGGTGAAGTCCTCCATTGTTTCTAATGTTCCAACTTCCTGCTCAAAGCACTGGTAAGCAGAGCCTATGTCTTCCACCCAGTCCCAGACACGTTCCAGAGCACGACGGAAGAGCTTGCGGCAGTGCTTCTCTGAACCATAACTCCTAAAACAACATTACTTTATTCATTTTTACATTAACTTTCGTATAAATTTCTATACGAACCCAAAATCAAATTACCAAAGACAATCCTTAACATTATCAGATCATCAGAAATCCTGATCAGAGCAGTGTTACTTCTTTGTGCCTGGACAACTAATAAAGCTAATATAAAGAAAAAATAATGATTATTAAATTTGTTCCGATATATGAGGGTCAACGGCAGAGCTGTTGACTACTTCACACGCTCCAATCTTGTCTCAACGCAACATGAACTTGCACATATGCCACGTTATATATATATGTGCAAGCAAACACAAAACAAAAAATTAAATTATCCCATATATTTATATACGTGCAGTATACTGTATTATCTCACTATTTTGTTCTATTTTTAATATTTATAACTGTCTTTCACAATATTATTCAAGCTTATTCTATTTTTCTCTAGGCTGATGCCTAGAGAAATAATAATAACGAGTCAATCAATATACATTATCTTAGCATAGATATGTGGCGACCCCCCCATTCTCATGATCTACAATGTATCTAATTTGTATGCATTTCCTTAGCCTTAACTGCCTTAGCCTTAACTGCCTGAACCTACATTGACTCATCTAACCTATTAGGAACATGCTCAATATGCCAAGTAAACATTTTATAAGCTATTATTTCCACTTAAGCATTTCAATTAGTATGGTTGCATTCATAGCACACACATGTAGACATATTAACTCTTGGACAGTGGCTATGGAGAAATGGTCATACCCGCAAATGCACAAAAAACCAGCGTAGAATGTACTGAAACTCCATTTTCTGGGCAAGACCCGGAGGCTCCCCCTGAGCTATACCAGGCTGATGTGTATATATTAGACCTTGGCAACAGTCAATCGATAGAGTTCTAGCCTCCCGGGGACCATGAGCCAGAACCTGGCCCCCTCAGAGAGGTACGAGGAATAATGGCCTATAGACACCTCATATGTAGTTGGAAGCAGGCTTTATCTGCCATGTCAGGCACCTAGAAAAGTAGGAATTCCAGAACAAACTACAGCTGGTTAAAAATTGCAAGCAAAAAGAGTAATTCTGTGGCGCGGGTTCGATTCCCGCACGAGGCAGAAACAAATGGGCAAAGTTTCTTTCACCCTGAATGCCCCTGTTACCTAGCAGTAAATAGGTACCTGGGTGTTAGTCAGCTGTCACGGGCTGCTTCCTGGGGGTGGAGGCCTGGTCGAGGACCGGGCCGCGGGGACACTAAAGCCCCGAAATCATCTCAAGATAACCTCAAGATAACCTCGGGAGAGGGAAGGTGGGGCCCCCAGACCTCCTGTGCCGGCTACCCAACCCCAGTTCAGAGGCTGAATATAAAAAACGCCAACCGGAGGTAGAGAGGGGATGCCAGGGAGCCTCCGGGTCTCATCCAGAAAATGGCATTTCGTTACATTCATTGCTGGTTTTCTGTGGAGAGCCCCTTCGGCTCCATGGAGCTACCTAACCAAAGATAAACTAAAAGAGGGACTTACCCAGGAGATGGCCGCCACTCATTCCTCAACTCAAAGTCGAGACAACTGGCTGCAACCTGCGACCCAAGGCTACACACGCCAAAGAAGGGCCAGAAAAATTAACGAGGTACCGTGCGGCCAGGACCCTGTTTGACCTCCAAAAGCCCCGTGCCCGAATGTCAGCTCAGGACATATTACCAAAAACAGCAGCCAAAACTGCGAACTTACAAATGTCGTGAGCATGGGGATAGACCGCAGGCTGACTGGACCGAATAATCCTGTGGATGACCTGGGAGACCCACTCCCTGGAACAGGAAAGAAGGGAAACTGGGTCAACCCAAAGCGCATCCCCTGCCAGAGAGGCCGTGGCGCGCAAGTGACGGTGAAGAACTGCATCCGAACACAAAACATGATACACCCCCGGCCGAACCAACCAAGCATCAACAACCCAAGGACTTCTCCAGAAAGCAACAGTCTCATTCTTCGCCAGAAAAGAAGGAGACAGTTGCAAACGAACTAAATGACCACCAGGACCGAAAGAACAGAAACCCATGAGCCGGAGTCAGCTCCCTGAGCATGAAGCTCCCTGACCTGAACCCCAGAGGCCAATGCCAACAAGAAAAAAAAGAGCCTTAGAAAAACCATTCTGAACTGAAGGGGCTACCACAAACCAAGGAGAAGACAGAAAAAAGAGCACTCGGTCCAACGACCAGAACAGCTCAGGCGGCACATGAGCAGGCTGGAGATGAAACAACGCCCGAGAAAGCTTACAAAACGGAACAGGAGTAACATCCACCCTGAACGCAAGCTGAAACAGCTCTGCCAATGCCGCACGATATGAGGCAACAGTATTTGGCATAAGATGACAGTCCTGACACAACCAAGAAAGGACAAAACAACCTCCGGGGGCCTCCAGGAACTTACCCAGAAAATGGCGTTTCATTACATTCAACACTGGTTTTTTCAGACCTGTCAAGGTAAACTCCATTATATCCACATACATCTATTATAGTATATCAATGCAGTATTTGAATCATACATGTAAAACCCAGACAATAACTGTTCAAATCATCATATAATGATAACCTCATTACTCTAAAGATCATCAACAGACGATAACCGCCGCCCCAAGGGCATGAGCTCAAGTTAGCACGATGAGCATCGCAGCCTCTGTCATACAAAAGGCTGGGAAGAAACATTACTGGAGTCCCCGTGGCGCACTGGTAAACCAATCTCTCGGCACTTTGCGAGCACTGTGGCCTGGGTGCGTATCCTGACTGGGGAGGATTGACCGGCCGCCAATCCTTAACTGTAGCCTCTGTTCACCCAGCCCAGCAGTGAATGGGTACCTGGTTGTTAAAGAATTTGGTGGGTCATGTTCCAGGGAAAATTAGGATTAAGGACCTGCCTGAAACGCTATGCATGCTAGTACAGGTAGTGGCTTTACAAGAATGTAAGAACTCTTGTATATATAAATAATAAAATAAATAAAGATGCATCTTTTCAAACTCTTTCTTCTAAAGGAAACAAATGCCTCATTTTCTTATCTCTATAGCCTTCTTTCACTATATTATTGCCCTCTATTTTTTTCTCTAATCTGATGTCTCCTCAGCACACACAAGTAAGGAACAAAGCAATGATGAATGAGTGATGAATGGATGAATGAACAAATATATATTACCTTTCTATGTTGATAAACTCTAGCCATAGCTTTGCATTCTTAAAGTTATTGTTTCTTCTCATGATGATGTCGTTCCAAATTTCTCTTGATCTTTCAGCATCACGAGCAAATTCTGCTTCTATACGAGACAGAAAGCGAGGGATTTTACTCTCAATGTCTCCATCTTCACCAAAATCTGAAGTAAATAAAAACACTAACTCTATAGCATCTATCTCTTAGCTGCCACTTGCATACCACTTTCCATAGATTGAACAATTTAGACTAAAAGTCAGAGAAGTGTAGGAGGCAGCAGCCAATAAACACTAAACCTAGGCATAGCATAAAAGAGGTGCTGCATCATTACCAAGTCAAAACTGGGAAATAGGTATATGGCTTGCATGCAAATTATAATGCCGATACATAATCAGGACTTTAGAATTTTCAGGTTTTCTATCTCTAATGTGAGAATTTTAAATCTGTTCATTAAGGAACTTATCGGCAAATATTAAAACTGCATCATCCCCCCCCCGTTTATATTTGTTTAATTGCCTAATTTGAATATCCTCCCACCTTTTTTTTATATTGTGATCAACCATTTTCTTATTAACTTATCTCCCTAACTTGTATATTTCCATCTCTTCCCATTCTCTGAACTCCACATACTGTACACTGGTCAGAATCTGCATTCAAAAGCTTGCACTCTGCAAATAATAAAGAATAAAACTTATCTAAATGACAGATTCCACTCTTATCATCCTCACTAATAAAAATCATATACTGTATAGCATACAATTTTTTTTATCCTTTTCAAAACTTGTGTAAATCTAACTGGTTATGGTAATACCTACGCTCATCAATCATGCGTATAGCTTGCTCTCCTGCTTCTTTAAAAGCTCGCAGCCGAGGTTCATGAGGCTCATCCCATGGGATTTGCCTCCGCAAATATATGAGGTACGCCATCCACATGCGAGTAGCTTCATGCCCCGACTGAATACCACAACCGAGGCCTTTCTCCAGAGCACCTGTTACATAAAAAACAAAATCTTTTTAACACCTGCTCTCGTATACTGTAATAAGCAAAGAAGTAAATTGCCGAATTTATTATAAGCATTTCGATCACTGTTCCCCAGGTAAGACTGGCAGACACAGTTTAATGATAACATATGTAAGATTATTAGCTTAGGATATTATACAAGAGTAAAAAACCAGTGGCTCCCCAAAACCTATGCACTGGTACACCTAGGATCTGTGACCATCTTATAACCTACTGGGATCCCATATCACAATCATACCCCCTCAAAATGGCAGCAGTGTGTCTTAAGACCACACACAAGGAAACTCCACCAAAATGACTGAAAATGAGTCACAAAGCTCAAAACACAGGGAAATATTTTATATGAATGAATACCAAACAAAATTAAAATATCCTAAATACACTAAACAAATTCGTACCATTTCCTCCTCCCACCACCAGATGGTATCGCTGGTCAAACCAGGGCCTGGTAAAGAACCACTATCATACTTGAGCCTAATGTAACCCCCCAGAACCCACAGGTGAGCAAGGTAAATAATAGGAAAAAGGGAGCCATTGAAGGGGTCCCCAGAAAAAGGTACTTCAATATACTTAATGCTTTATTTTTGGGATTGCCCCCTCAGTGGCTCCCAGAGTTTATTTACCAGTGCTCGATATGTTTACCCATAACATATCACAAGACAAGCAAACCTGAAACAGGAAACCATGTATACAATAATTAAAAGGTGAACAAAATAGAGTTTATCCAAGAATATCAACACAGCTCTAACAGCCTGTTGGACCAAGCTCTCACAAGTCAAGCCTAGCCTCGGGCCGGGTTTGGCGAGTAGAACAGCTGCCAGAACCCCATCAAGCAGGTATCAAGCAGCTAACTTGGACTTCAGACCCAGCCAGACATCAAGATACAGTATTTGAATCTATGTTACCCCTCCCCAAAGCCATAGAGCCATACTAAGGAAGAGGTGTAGCAGGAAATTATTTGGTCACGAGCATTCTACTGGAGCACCAAAAACTGCAGATCTGAATAATGCATTGACATATTATTAAAGAATGCAGCCAGAACAGCATACTTAATGGGGTAAGAAATTGATAAAAGAACGTGGCTGACCAGAAGGATAGCCCTGCTAAAGCCAAGACAAAATGAGTGAAGGAGCAGGGAAGAAGGCACCAAAGATGAAAAAGCTGAGCTACATTACAGGAAACTTTGAGTCACTTGTAGAAGCCATTAACAGCAGCCACTAGACAAAGAAGCCACAAAAACAAAAGAGCTTCATTGGATAAATACTGTACTGTAGTCATTCATGGCAGAAAGAAAGTAGGCTCCCTGCAATCAATGAACCTAAACCCCCAGACCAATACAACAGCAGCTCATTAACAGATAGAAGGCATGGACAATTCTCACATGATTGTCTCATGCATCACCACACAAGACACAACCTGAAAACCAGAAAGAGGAGGAAGAGGAAAACTACAAGAATGACTGGTCTCATAAATATGGATCATCATGTGGACAAAGTCTCTTCAAACCAGGAAAGCATCAGTTTGTGAGGACCATTACCTATAGGAAAGAGAACAAGTATATGCAATATGCAACAAAATTGATGGGAAGAAAGGCCAATGAAGACTGCAGAGCTAAGTGCGAGATAAGTACACAGCAATTTGGTACATACATGTTTGGTACATGTTTGTACCAAACAGCCAATCACTCTGACACCAGGATTTGCACCTACTGCAATCAGAGAGAACCACACCCCTAATCATCCAGGTAACAACTGAAAACAAAGTTCTATTCCTTAAGAGGAGTGCCTTAAAACAATTGGAAAGATGGTGTTAAAGAGAGCAAAAAACAGCTGTCCAAGAATCACAAAGTAACCCCAACCCGGCCCGAAACTGTAATTGAAAGGTGTTAGAAAGTGTACAAACCAATCATACAGACTAGTTTCTTGATGGCTGGAGCAGAGGTTACAGTATCAGAAAGCTATTGTATATTTGGCACAGGTATCCAAAATAAGATGTTTAATATCCACCACATGAAACTATGGAAAATCAGCAGCCACCTGGTTCAGTCAGGGGGCCACAGAAGCCAGAACCACAAAGTGTGATCTGTCATTGTGGTCACAGCCTGATAAGCCATTACTTGTGAAGACGGCTCAGGCGAAATACAAGTTCAGCACCAACAGTGCACATGGTGACTGATGAGGCCAGCTACTTGCCTTACCTTACTGGCACAGCTAAGCAAATGTTGCCAAACAGTAGTAGATAGTGCTGTGCATTGATCATGCTTGGGGCATCAAGGCTTGCAGATCCTGCATGCACATACGTACACACAGTACAAGCATATATACATGTATCTGGAGCATACCTGGAGAGGGTCTCGGGAGTCATCCTACTCCCGGAGCCCAGCCTGAGGCCAGGCTCAACTTGTGATAACTTGGTCCAAAAGGCTATTGCTTGGAGCAGCCCTCAGGACCACATATCAACTACAGACTGGCTGGTCTTGCACTTCTTGCAAGAACTTGTCTAAGAGCCTCTTATATACAATGGAAATATTTTCTCACCTTTTACTTTAGATGTAATATCTTCATTCTCTGATTGAAACATCTGCAAAGCTGTGATGTGGAGCTCACAGAGGGTTGCAGACCATGGACAGTTTCTCTGGCTGCGCTCACACACGGGTAAAACAACATAGTCTAACCCAGGAAACTGATGCATAATGAAAGTAACATATTCCTCCCACAAACCTGTGAATAAAGTATATCAAATATATTTACATGATACTGTATTTCTTGTGTAACAATAAGCATTCCAATAAATGCTATATCAGGTTCATGTAAATAGTGGAGTATTTAAGCAACACTTTAATAGTTAACAAACCAGCGTATTCTTACCAACATCAAGACAGTGATCGGTGACAGCTCTTTCGTATAAACTCTGAACAGCAGCAGGATTATCCGTTTCCTTCGTATGCGCAATATAACGTCGATATGTAGCCAGTTTGTCGACATCATTTTCAGCTCTGAGCTAAGTACAATGAAAGAATAGATTCTTTAAACCATGGGTTAATATATTTTACTGCATAACACATTCCTACCATTACTGTTCATGAAGGAATTTCAGATTAAATATACAACCAACCCCTTTAGAACCACAATAGTGTAAGAGGTCGAGTAAGTTGTCAAAACCTCCCCTTTACAAAATATTAAAGTGGATGTGAAAACATTATGCAATCATACAAAACCAGTGTTGGATGTAATGAAATGCCTATTTCTGGGCGAGCCCCAGAGGCTTCCTGAAGCTATACACCGAGATGTTTCCTATCCACTAGGTCGCATCAGCCGTGGTGTTGCGAAATCGACTGGGGTGAAACAGAGCCAGAACCTGGACCCAGATCCTCATAGGAATGTGGGTCCCCTCGTCCCTCTGATAACTGGATAACCCCTCTTATCCCACTAGATAACTACAGTATCTAGTGGGAGCGGCGACTATTTGTCACCTCGCCAGGGAATGCATCCAGAAAGTCAGCAAGTCAAAACACTCCCCTACTGGGTTTAAAAAGAGACTAAAGCTTCATAACCTGTCTAATGAACTCCTTAAACCACGTAAACAAACAATTGAATTTCTCAAAACTAGCGCGAGTTCATTTGTCCTTCCCCAACTCATTTGGGGAAAGTGAGGAAAGGGGTTCACCCTTCCTACAAGGGGTCTGAGCTGTAAGTTCTGGATCAGATACATGAACACAACTCACTTGACTACCTGGAAGGAAGGGAAAATCAGGGAACCACCGTGGCTCACTCAAGAGTTGTTTCAATACGCTTCAATACATGGTTTTCTAAAAGGGGTCAAGGAAAGGGGTTTTTGAAAGGGTCAGCATTCTTGGGTATCTATGAATAGCCCTCTAGTTGATTAGATCAATTGGTAAGGGTCATTGCATACCCAGTTTATGATCAACCAGAGTAGAGTATACAAGTTATCAAATGGAACTCTGTAGTTCCAGAATTCCATTGATGGTGAGAGAGAGAGACTCCAGAGTGACTTTACGTGGCCCAGTCTGGAAAGGTTGGCTCACACGGTCAGTTGAAAGTCAGGACTCCAACCCCCATGAGTACTTTTCTATGACATTATAAAACCTGGGATTGTACCTGGATGGGGTTCCAAGAGTTATTCTACTCCCCTAGCCCAGTCTGGGTCCAGGCTTGACTTGTGAGAGCTTGGTCCAACAGGCTGATGCTTGGAACACCCCGCAGGCCCACATTCACCACATCTCGGTTGGTCTGGCACTTCTTGAAGATAACTACAGTATCTAGTTTTCTCTTGATTGTGTCCACATTTGTTCCGGCAATATTTCTTATACTCACTGGGAGTATGTTGAACAACTGTGAACCTCTGAAGTTTATACAGTGTTCTCTGATTGTACCAATGGCACCCCTGCTCTTCACTGGCTCTATTCTGAATGTTCTTCCATATTGTTCATTCTAGTATGTTGTTATTTTACTGTGTAGATTTGGTACTTGGCCCTCCAGTATTTTCCACGTGTATATTATTTGATAACACACTCATCTCCTTTCTAGGGAGTATATTTGGAGAGCTTTGAGACAATCCCAGTAATTTAGGTGCTTTATCATGTCTCTGTATGCTATATATGTTCTCTGTATTCCCTCTATTTCAGCAATCTCTCCTGCTCTGAAGGGGAAAAGCAGGTATTGAGCAATACTCAAGACAGGGACAGCACAAGTGATTTAAATAGTACAGTCATTGTGATGGGATCCTGGATTTGAAGGTTTTTGTAATCCATCCTATCATTTTTCTGGATGACGCAATATTTGCTTTCTTATGCTCCCTAAATGTTAGGTCATCAGACATCATTATTCCCAGATCCTTTACATGCTGCTTTCCTACTATGGGCACATTTGATTATGTTTTGTACACAGAATTTTCTTTAAGGTCCTCATTTTTACTGTACCCGAGTACCTGGAATTTATCACTGTTAAACAGTTATTTTCTGCTGCCCAGTCGAAAACTTTATTAATATCTGCTTGTAGTTTTTCAATGTCTTCAGTAGAGGTAATTTTCATGCTGATTTTTGTGTCATCTGCAAAGGATGATACGAAGCTGTAACTTGTATTTTTGTCTAGTTGACAAAGAGTACCTAGTTGACTTGTGTACTGGACTGCCATTGGTTTAGGCATCTGTGCTTGTTTGTTATTCGCTCGTTCATTTATCAGACCGTTGGACAAAGGGAAACCCGAGCAAAGTCATTTGGTCACACCAAGCCTAATTCTAACCCGGGAATTGACCTGGGAATGTGCATCATACTAATGCAGTCAAATTAGTGTCAATCTCTATCCAGAACTGTTGTTGTAAGTAACTCACTCCTTTGCATTCAAGTTAACTGCCGCGTGTCCCCAGAATCACGATACGTGTAATTTGCTTGATTCTAAGTTGTAATAGTGAGAATTGTTGTAGATAAAGATGTAACCATATGACTTATCAGGTGCAACAGACTGTTGTAGAGGGTGACTGGGTATCTAATACGTCCATGTACAGAGTGAAGGGCTGAGGTCAGAAAAGCGTTCTACAAATTGTTGCCGCTCAATTACTGAATACCTGTAACTGGAATGAATCTAAGCTTGATGCCCAACTCTGTGTTCGAATAAAAGCCACCCTGAATGCCACACCAGAGCCCACACGAGTCCGTGTCATATGAGAACTGTGTAGTGTCCAGCTTTGTACTTCGATCCCACTGCTTGCATTGTTTACCCGTGACAAACAGTAAAAGACAAAATTGACTGCAGAGATCTTAAGTGTGGAGACACTAGCTCTCCACATTTGTAAGTTGCTTAATTTAGAGACTGACCCCAAGTAGAAACACACATACTGATGTAACAATATACAAGTACAGTACATTAAATTTTGTAACTAGCTCATCTAGACTAACTTGCTTAGCTAAATGAATTTTGGGGTTCAGTCCCTGAGCCCATTGTGTGTAACACTTTCCACTACCACCTACAGCATGGGTATAGGGTGCATAATAAACTAAACTAGTAACTAGAGATCTTCAATGCATGAGAAGCTTAACAGTATAAATGAACAAATCCACAAGGGCCATGATGAGTATCACAGTATGCACTATATACTGTACACTTAACAGTATACACTGTTTACTGATACTGATTTATAATAGTATACTGTACAGTATAAATAAAAGGAATAACAGTGCAGTAGCAGTACTGTAGTGCCTAATGATGAAATAGAGGGTCACAAAAAACATGCATGCAAATTATCAGTCCAGTACAACAAAGTTAGGTATCTTTTCATAGGTATATTATAATTAGTCTAGAGATGACACTCATAGAGCATCTTCCTTTGAAACACATTCAATTTTAGAGAGACTAAGAATCACAGCAAAATGCTTACCAATTCATGTTCATAAGGAATTTTCTCATTTAATTTTTTCTGAGTCTTTTTTAGATCCTCTTTCATATGAGAGTCAACTTTACCATCAAAATATTCCGAGGCTTCCTCAAGGAGTGACTCTGAATCACAGTTCAGTAGCGGAACCCTCATCTGTCTTCGAAGCAGTCCTTGGATTCTATGAAGCTGTTTTTCTTGCTCTTTTACCTCCTCTTCTGATTGAATGGCACCAGCCTTCTGTAGGCCTGCATATATCTGAAATCCAGTAAACAGTTTGTTATCAAAATCAGTGTTGAATGTAATGAAATGCCAATATCTGGGTCCACTCCAGTGGCTCCCTGATTGGCTTCAAAAAGGCACAAAGTTCTTCTCCCCAGAAATTTGCTTATACTGCATTCAAATGATAAAAACAAGAAGGACTGGAGTGGAGTAGAGATAAGAAGGAAATCACTCGGTAGCTCCTTGAGCTTAAGCACTGGTATACAACACTGGTAAACTCAGAACAGCTATCAACCACAGGGACCAGTTCTGAGCCATGTGGGGAAGACATTGTAATTTATTATTTGCACATGTGCAGTCCTAGCCATGTGCAGCAGGAGTAAGTCCACAAGAAGTGTCACCTAGCATATACAGAAGCAAAGCAGATCTGAGAAACCTTAAAAAATGGGCTAATCAGAACCACAAGGACCCAGAAACACATCTGGGGAAGAGATAGAAGCAAAGGAATCAAGCTAAAACTGTAATGGTTAATATAGCATATTCCCAACCAGGAGACATGGCCTCCGGTCAAGAGGCAAGGCCACAGTTCATGTTAAATGAAAACTAAAGGTCCCTCACAATGACTCTTAAAAACCTGTGTCTCTTCAAGACACAGAAGTGTTAAGACCAGGATCAAAGCCCAACTCAAAACCAAACCTGAAGCCTTGGCCAGAGAGGAAGGTGGAGAGCCACTTTTAGAGACCTCAATGACAGTACCACAGCTGCCTTCCATCTAAAGAAGGCAGAAACAGACAGGAAAGGAGTGGTGGTGGTGGGGAGGGGGAAAATCTGGAATAACCAACTCTTTCACCAGGTCAAACCTGACAATCAACTCAAACAATCCGACCCTCTTGTGGGAGTCATTGGGGCATCAACGTTTGGAAATTTTGTTCCTTTATCAGCAATGAGGGCATATTAACCCCTCCAAATCATCAGCTGAAACTGCAATTGCAATAAAAACCTACAGTACTTGGAAAAAGCTGCACACAGCCGTCTCAAGCTCTGACTTCGGTGCTCTGACCGTTGACAATAACATTTTGTTCATAGCTTAATCCATAAACATTTTACATCAATTATTTTTTTATTATGCTGTCTATTACCACATACATGCAAAAGTGCAAGTATGAATGTAAGTTTCAAAAACACAAATATTTATGTTAGTCACACCAAGATCAATGATCATCAATTACCAATGCAGTAAAGAGACATGCAGTACCATTTCTTGTAAGCCCCACTGAGATGTAGTTAAAAGTTCAGGATTTGTTGCGATTTAAAACAGTTGTCATTATTACACAAAGTACACTTCATCATTCAAATTAAATGTTTATTCAAATAAGGAATTTGATCTCAAGAATCCGACGTAAGCAATAATCACACGACATCACACATGAAGTCCCTACAGCAATGTTAACACCACTGTAAAGTCTCACCTGGTCACTCTGCTCTTTAACAAATGGAGCAAAAGAGTACAGCATACTGCCTATATGTAATGTTTACTTTGCTGGAAGTAATCAGCTACTGCATTTGAGAATACAGCATTCAGCAAAATATAAAACAATCACATTTAGAATTTTAGACAACAATAAATTCCAAAGTTTAACAGGTAAACGCATCTAAAAGTTTTTTGTTAATAAGTGGCATTACCTGCAAGAATTCTGGATTCTGCACACATGTTCATCAAAATTTCTTTAGTTATACAAGTACAGTAGGTCATTTTGATATGCTTACCTGCTTCTCCACCAGCAGTACAACTTGCCATGTCAACACACCTTCTGCAACGTGAGTCCCTGCAGCAGTGAGAGCACGTTCTCCAATGGCTCTGGTTGCTACCACGTCACCACTACCCAGCATGAACATGACGTATTCTACCCACAGTTGCACACCTTGTAAACGAAAAAAAGGTTAGGCTCCTCTTTCACACTTGAATAAAAATATTAAAATCTAATGTCAAATATAATGAAACGTCTTTTTGGTCGGTCCCCTCAGTGGCTTCCCAAGCTAGCCACCTGGTAACCCTTCAGACCTTGGGTACCCTAGTGGGCTCTATCAAATAATTTTTGCCTACTGGATTGTAAATTTCTTCCTTCATCCATGTGTTTGCTGGTGGATTGTAGACACAAATGAGCATTTTGTCTATGGTTGCAGATCTCCAATGCCACTATGTCCACATCTGGTGGATTGTTGAGGATTAATTATTTTACATTTGGAGTCTCTTACACTACTGCACTGAGACTTCCACATTTTCTGTGTATATTGTGTTTGTGTGTCTACTCATCCTCATTAGATCTGGTGAAAGCCATCTACTCTACTCCTTCTTCAATGTACTTAATTATGGGAACACACAATCATTTTCTATGAAGTAATTCTACTAATAGATTATTATTTCACTTAATAATGGTCAATAATCTGATAATTAATACCTGGGACAGCTTGCTTAGTTGTCCTGCAATTCGTTCATTACCCACACATACTCTTATTTACCTATACTGCATGTTCAAAACCTTAACTTCTGTGTACTATACTTAGCACTGTTACTGCTGTGACACTTCATTTTGATGATCACTTGCATAGACACAATTTTAAACATTGTTTTTTTAATAAGATTTGGATTAGTGTGCTAAACCATTCAATATGCTACCTTACCTAATGTGTTTTAAAGTGATAACAAAAAAGTACTTACTTGTATAATCTTTTACTGCACGTTCAAATAATTCAACAATGTACTGCCTCTCTTCGTCTGATGTACACACTTTTTGCTCATCTCGAATCCAGTCCAACCACAACTCTATTATTAAAACACTTCATAAATAAACTTGGCCACCAAAAATATAAATATGTAACTTCAAAATCACACAAATTTTAAGGCCTTTAATACTTATAAGTGTAATTAATGATTTGAAAAAGGCTTCAGTATTAACCATTAATTAGCATTAAATTAGACCAAATACAAAGCACTGCTATATGCAATCATAATACAAACTTCATGGTATTACCTTACCTGGTGTCAAAGGGTATACCTCACTCATTCTCTGTCTAGCGTGTCTTGCTTCTTCAAGTTCAAAGAGTTCCCGTAACACTGCTATTAGATTTACATGCCCATCATAATATAGGTTGTTGCCTTCCAACTGCAAAAGCATTCATATATTATTGAAACAAGTATAAAACCGATATGCAATTTTTTGTTTAAATCAAGCATTAAATAAAATGAAACTCCCTTTTCTGAATAGTAGCTCCCTTTGTTTGCACCTGTTGCCTTTACAGGACTCTGCTCTTTTGTCAGGATCAAAGTGATCTTATACCCCAAGGAAACCAACAACTTTCCAAGCCATCTAGTCACCCTCACCCTCCCAATGGTCAGAAAACTCAGCAGAGAACTTGACTCAATCCAACCAAAAGGATCTTGGTTCAATTCCCACAGCAGGACAAACATATTTGGGCAAGTTTCCTTTCACCCGTACTCTGATAGAGTAAATATTTACCTGGGAATTAAGCAACTGTTGTGAGTTGCAGCCTGGAAAAGGTCAGCAGTGGCCTTGGCAGACCTCAGTAAGCCTAAGACTTCCTTTCCCAAAGGGAAACCAAATCATTTAATATGTCCTCCAAATGAACCTTCAGGGAGCCGGTCGGCCGAGCGGACAGCACGCTGGACTTGTGATCCTGTGGTCCCGGGTTTGATCCCAGGCGCCGGCGAGAAACAATGGGCAGAGTTTCTTTCACCCTATGCCCGTTACCTAGCAGTAAAATAGGTACCTGTGTGTTAGTCAGCTGTCACGGGCTGCTTCCTGGGGGTGGAGGCCTGGTTGAGGACCGGGCCGCGGGGACACTAAAAGCCCTGAAATCATCTCGAGATAACCTCAAGATAACCACTCTCCCAATCTGATTGACTCATGACTATTATAAATGTTGTATTTACCCCGAGTTTACCAGAGTGCTATTACTAACACTAGGGTCCACGATGAGGACAGGAAGCCAGTGGCTTGTCAAAAGTCTCCCATTTGTCCTGATGATTTTCCAGCTGAATTTTAAAACTTAACAGTTTTGGTATATATGGCTTCAGCAGGTAGTTAGTTCCATGGGTTTATAACCCTGTGGATGAAAAAGCATCATCTGTTTTCAGTCCTGCATTGTGACTCGAGCATGAAACCATTGCTCCTTGTGTTAAATCTGATCTTTTGAAGAAATTCTGGATCAACATCCTCCAAATTGTTCAGCACTGTACAAGCCTGCTGATCCGTCATCACCGCTAACAACTTGAAATACCACTATGAAACTAATCACAAACTTTTTGTATGATTATCTGTAAATCAGACTTAAGGAAAAGCAAGTAAATGAGTTAAAATCATCGATAAATAGCCAGAAGACAGTGTTAGATCCAAATAACAAAAATTCAGCAACAAATAGCACAGACACCAGTTTCATGTCACTTTATTAAGAGGCGTCTCTCTCAGATCGGTGCTGATGACGCAGCAAAATGATTTTTTGTCTTTGTTCTGTCTTTGCCATATTGCAGCAGAAGGTTAAAGATGCCTACTGGAATGGGCCAATACTATAGTACGATAACCATTTTGAAACTCAAAGCTCATGGAGGAACAATGTATAGTAAAGTGAATCACGAAGTTGGACAACCATCAAATTGCACAAAAGATGGTTCGACAAAGCTTGTTTTTAGATTGTCAAAACAGTATGCATCATTAAGTTATGATATATTAGCTCGGGTTAGGTTCAGATAGGTTAAGTTTTGCTTGGTTTTAAAATCCAATGGCAAATCATCTTGTGAATGATGTGACCTGTAGTGGAGAAAATACCAGTAATGGGGCGACACCCAATAATACTCAATACTTTGAGTATTAGTGACTTTATTAAATATACATCGTCTATAACGACTAACCAATGTATAATATTCTTCGGTATATTTTCTACACAATTATGCTTATATTGTATATTAACAAGCAAAAATTACCTGCTTTTGAAGGTCCTTCACCTTCTGCTTGAGTTCTTCCTCCCGCTTATTCTGAACGTCATCGTCCTCATCCTGGGAGTCCGAGTCTGTGTCTTCAGCGTCCTCCTCCATCTCCTCGCCTTCTGGAGTGGCCTCCATCATCTCCTCTCCTTCAGGAGTGGCCTCCATCATCTCCTCTCCCTCTGGAGTGCCCTCCAACGTCTTCCCTCCTCCCGGGGTGCCTTTCATGTCCTCTCCGGGATCTGTCATGATCCTTATGATAAACTGCGAATATAGCACCACCTTGGACTATGAGAACGCAGTGTGTGTAGAGCAGCCAGCAGCGACCCCACCTCCCTGCTACTGGTGCACTCCACCGCAAGTGTGTCCTGGTGAGTGTGTCCCTGTGAGTGTGTCAAGACACTTGAGGCTGAACCCAGCGACTTGGCTTGTCCCAGCGGTGCTTGCAGTTCCCCCCAGCTGATGCTTGTTGTTACCACTCAACACTCGCTACAAGGACGAGAAAGCATCTCAAGCCGATACTAACACAACCCCAACGTGTAGTTAAGAGGTTGCCAGATGGCATAATAACAGTGCCATCTATTGCCTGGAGTTACACACTCCACTAAACGTTGTTGTTGTTGAAGGGGCGACGAGGGTCGAGGGATCGGATGGGCTCCGGCTGCCGGATACCGGGAAATAGCAGAGATGGGGTCTCTATAGTCTCCTCAGGCCACAGTTTCATCAGGACACATACTTTACAGTCTCTTCAGGCTACGGACATGACGAATGAAGCGGAAGGTATGGCGAAGGATGTCATGACGGACGTCTTCGTCTCTCGCACCTACCCCGTTAAGGAGAACGGGAACCATGAGGCGGGGAATTTGAATAATAATAATATTTGTTTATTTAGAAAAAGTACATACATAGATGCAGAATTGCAAACAAGGAAATTTGTAACTCTAAACTCTTTGCTAAACTTATTTGTTACAAACAAATAAGTTTAACTAAACTTATTTGTTACAACCAAATAAGTTTAGCAAAGCTTTTGATACAGTGCCACATGAAAGACTCATTAAAAAGATAGAGGCTCATGGTCTTGGGGGTGCTATATTAAATTGGTTTAGAGCATGGCTATACCAAAGGAAACAGAGTTAGTATAAATGAGGTTAAGTTAGAGTGGGAAAATGTTGTTAGTGGAGTGCCACAAGGCTCTGTATTGGGACCTCTGTTGTTTATATTATATATAAATGATTTAGATTCAGGTTTGAGTAGCAGCATTTGAAAATTTGTCGATAATACAAAAATCGGAAAGGAAATTAACACGGAAGAAGACTCACTATCACTTCAAGTTGATCTGAATAGGGTTTTGAAATGGTCAAAAGATTGGCAGATGCAGTTTAATGCTGATAAATGCAAAGTTCTGAGGCTAGGTAATGATGATAGAGTTACAAGATACGAGCTAGATGGTGTTCAGATTGCGAAGTAGGATTGTGAAAGGGATCTGGGAGTTATGATTAGTAAGAATTTAAAACAAAAAGATCAATGCATGAATGTTCGTAATAAGGCAAATAGGACACTGGGATTTATCAATCGAAGCGTTAGTAACAAGACACCTGGTGTTCTTCAGCTATAACTTGCTCTGGTTAGGCCCCATTTACATTATGCAGTTCAGTTTTGATCGCTATACTATAGAATGGATATAAATTCACTTGAACGTGTCCAGCGTAGGATGACTAAGTTAATTCGCCAAATTAGAAATCTTTCATATGAAGAAAGATTAACAAAGCTTAAATTGCATTCATTGGAAAGGCGAAGAGTTAGGAGTGACATGATAGAGGTTTACAAGTGGGTCAATGGACATAACAAAGGGGATATTAATAGGTTATTAAAAGTATCAGCACAAGGCAGAACACGAAACAATGGGTGTAAATTGGATAAGTTTAGATTTAGGAAAGACTTGGGTAAATACTGGTTCGGTTTAACAGGGTTGTTGATTTGTGGAACTAATTACCGCGTAACGTGGTGGAGGTGGGGTCCTTCGATTGTTTCAAGTGTGGGTTGGACAAGGGTGAGTTTGTTAGCAGTTAGCCAAAGATGGACTCTATTTAGTTCAGTATTCACAGTGACATTTAGAGCAAACGGGTCAGGACTGGAGAAAATGAAAGTTGTGTCATCAGCAAATAAGATTGGTTTCAGGGTGTTGAGAGGCATTTGGAAGGTCATTAATGTAGATGAGAAAGAGGAGAGGGGCCAAGTATGCTGTCCAGTGGAACACCAATGTTTATGGGTAGTGTAGGAGAAATGGAATTATTCACAGAAACATACTGGAGCCTGTCAGTAAGGTAAGACTGAAGGTATTGCAGGGAGTGACCTCTGACTCCATAATGATGTTTCTCAGGATCAAATAAATCAAATAAATCTCAGGATAAACAATACCCGAATTTGTAACAAAATAGATGGCAAATTCCTTGGCGTTCTCATTGACCCCAAGCTAAATTTTCAGGGACACATTCTAAATATATCAAAAAAAGTTTCAAAAACTGTTGGCATTCTTTCTAAGATCAGATATTATGTACCTCGCCCTGCCCTGGTGACGCTCTGTTACTCCCTCATCTATCCATATCTCAACTATATATTTGTGCTTGGGGTTCTACTACCCAAAATCATTTACGTCCTCTAATTACTCAACACAAAGCTGCTATTAGGACAATATCCAATTCTGGCCCCAGACATCACTCGGTACCCCTACTTAAATCTCTGAATATGTTAGACATTAAGTCACTGCACATTCTCTCATGTGTATTATACATATATAAAACGCTAAACTATAATGCCAATCCTGATCTCAAAAGCTTCATAGAAGGTTGTATCAGAACCCATGAGCATCACACCAGAAATAAATACAGTTTTGATATTCCTAGAGTACGACTTAATCAAACTAGAAATGCTCTACAAATCAAGGGGCCCAGAATGTGGAATGACCTTCCCAACCATGTTAAAGACTGTACCTCTCTCAACCAGTTTAAGTTAAAAGCGAAGCTATACCTAATAAATTCCCTGTAACCTACCTTACCCTTCTATTGTCAACCAATGTCTGTTTTTTTCTTTAAAGAGCGCTGTTTGTCGACATAATTGTATTTGTGCTGCTTTTTCATCTATGTTTTCATTTTTTGTTTTCATTCTACTCATTATGCTCAATTAGTATTAAGCTTGTCATTTAAGTTTATCATGCCCGAAACGCTTTGCGTAATAGTGGCTTTAGGCATTGTATGTACTAGCTCTACCTATAAGTCAAACAATCCTTGTAAATATTTATTGTATGTATGTACCTTACCTAAATAAAATTGTATTGTATTGTTGTATTGTATTGTATATTGAGTTTGGCTAAATATGAGTAAAACTGCTTGTAAATTAGCTTTTCAAATAATTTTGACAAGGTTGGCAGAATTGATATAGGTCTGTAATTGTTGACATCAGTGAGATCACCACATTTGTGGACTGGGGTTACTCTCGCTTTTTTTTTTTTTAGAATATCTGGAAAGGTTTGGAGTTCAAGTGATTTGTTGAAGAGCAATGCAATGGCAGGAGCTAGAAATCTGGAGGCTTTTTTGTAAATTAGAGATGGTATCTCATCAAGGGCGCTTGACTTAGTTCCTATTAAATGAATGGAATATTTGAAATATTTATTAAATATTTATAAATGAAATATTTACATCTCTCTGGAACATTTGTTATAGAATTTTCTGATTCGCGTATCTTTTCGCACTCCATCACATAGTGACAGAGGGTGTGTGAATAATTTTGTTGACACAGTTTACATTTGGTCAGGTCTACATCAGCAGATAATGAAATTCCCAGAGATACTTTTCCCCTAGGTATAAAGAATACAAAAGTTATTAAGATAAGCATTTAAGCATGGCGCGGCAGTAATCTTTCCCCGGCGCATGCGCCTTGGTATGCGCATGTAAACAACGCTCTACAGCGCAATGTGTTCGTTTGCTTAGGTAAGAGCTTAGGACATATCTTTACATGCTATATTTCAGGCGAGAAGAAACAAAAATAGGATTAACTGTACTTAAATGTACTTTTCTCATTTAATAAGTCGTAATGAATACAATGGAAGTGGCAATATTAATGAGAGTAAGCGAGGGGAGGGTGGTTGAAGGGAAGCGAACTATTGGATCCCATTCACGGGATCCGTCACCAGCGCTGGGTGGGTCAGTAATGTTTTGAATGTTGAGTGAGGGTGGATGTGTCCTCATACCTCTGGATGTTATAGCAGCTCTCCGTATGAACGTAAGTATAGTACACACACAGCTTACTCTCGTAGTGGTAGTGTGAGACATATGGTGATGCGCTGAGCGGCTGCAAGTGGGACTATGGGAGGAGTATGGTGCGTGGCTGAGGTCGAAGTGAGAGAGAGCGGTGAAGGACAGTGTGGGAGTTCTTTACACACCAGGAAATGAGTCATATGTGGGTAGTGTGTAGTTGTATGTTGTCACACTCTCCCATCAACACCAACATCAATATTTTTGTTCAAAATATTTGGGAGGAGGCTAATAGGATAGTAAGGTCTTCTCTTTTTATTCCCCAACCCTCCAGGGCAAGTAACCCCTGTAGCCTGATACATGTAAGCCTAACCAATTGACCGAGCCATAAGGTGCCTATATATCCGGCCTAACCTCTCACATGTAGGAAGTCTACAACAGTAAATAATAGTGCCTGACCAATCAGGTTGTGGTGGTATGTGGGCCTGCGGGCTGCTCTGAGCAACAGCCTGGTGGATCAAGCTCTCACAAGTCAAGCCTGGCCTCGGGCCGGGCTTGGGGAGTAGAAAACTCCCAGAACCCCATCAAGCAGGTATATGTGGGCCTACGGGCCGCTGCAAGCAACAGCCTGGTGGACCAAACTCTCACAAGTCAAGCCTGGCCTCGGGCCGGGCTTGGGGAGTAGAAGAACTCCCAGAACCCCATCAACCAGGTATATGTGGGCCCGCGGGCCGCTCCAAGCAACAGCCTGGTGGACCAAACTCTCACAAGTCAAGCCTGGCCTCGGGCCGGGCTTGGGGAGTAGAAGAACTCCCAGAACCCCATCAACCAGGTATCAAGCAGTGTGAGATGTACATGGGAGGACTCTGTTACGTTAGGAAACATCTGCCTGAAATGCTGTGTGTGTTAGTGGCTTTACAAGAATGTAAAAAATCAATGCTATGTACTCTCATAAACCCAATGTACCTCCTTGTATAGAAAAATGAATAAATAAAACAAATAAATCGTAGTGTTTGTGGTGGGTATTGCAGGAAGCAGTTGGGATTGTATTTCTGTAGCCTGCTGTGGTGGCCCATGGCTACTGAATGTGCTGCTGTCACATTTATGTGCCTCTGATGTTTTAAGTTTAATTGGAAAAGAAAATGCTCCATATTATTGATATTCTCTGTTGATTAAAAGCTTGTTATCTTAGGTTTAGGCCTATGGTGTGAATAAGAAGCAGAGACAGTTTGCAAAATTACACTAGAGTGTAAGTTGTATATGTAACACTCGCATATATATTAACATATACTGGCAATTTTGCCAAATACTGTATAACCTCATTTATAAAACTGTACTGTACAAATATTATAAAAGTGCTGTTTTTAACTCCAACTTCATGCATTTTTACAAAGTCATGTTGTCAAAGTGCTTTCTCTTCATAATTACCTTATTTTACCTCCAGAGTTTCCATACTATAATAATAATAATAATAATAATTTTTATTTAGGTAAAGGTACATACATAGAGATTTT